GCCCGCCCGCCCCATTGCCTTTTTGTGCAATTCAGGACGACAGCAGCCATGACTTTTCGCTGTGATTTGATCTCCTTCACTGGCCATCACTTGCTCCGATTGCCTGCCTGCATTCCTTCGTGTGCGTGTCTGCGTCTGCGTGTGCGTGTGCACACCATGTGCCGACCTGTTGAATTAATGACTCTGTCTGTCTGCCTTGCCTGTTTCATGTCGACACGTGCCTGCGGCCCTCAAGTCTCGCTTCGTTTATGTGCATCTGTCGGTGGTGCGTTGATGAAGGCAGCGGGCTGAGAGGTGACTCTCACACCCGCGTGCCTTTGTCGACACATCACCACAAACCTGATGCCGCGGTGCCTCCGTGTGTGTGTCCTGTCTCCTTCTCTCCCCCCTTTCTCTCTCTATGTGTCCATCGAAGTGGTTTAAGGTGTGTGCAGCCCTGCTGTTTGTTGCCTTTATCGAGTGAGAAGTTTTAATACGACGGGCGACTTTGTTGAGGGCAGGGCCGGCCCCCTCGTGCAAAGCACATGGCTGGCCCGGGCTGAGGTCTTTTATGTTTCTTTCGTCTGGCCGTAATGCACGTCGTCCCCCCCCTCTCCCTCCTGTCTATCTACGCTGCCTTCGTCTTCTCAATGTACTCTCTGTCTATGTGCCCCTCAAGGGATTGGTCGTGCGTCGGTGGTTGGGCATGTGCGTGAGAGCTGTGCACAGCTCCCCACCCCACCAGCCATCCATCGACGCACCAACCAGTATTCAACAGATGTCCACTTGCCTTTTATCCAGTGAGATTATTTTCAACAAGACGATGGCCGACTGTGTTGTGCATGCGTGTGTCTGTCGGTGCAGCGGTATTCCTTGCGACTGACTGGATAGGTGCAGTGGACTGCACCCCGGTTCGCAAGAGATGCGATGCACGACATGACACACGCACGCTCAGATGACCGATAGATATGTACATCAGACGATCCGAAACAAGTGAGAGAGAGTTGGGTGAGTGAGTGGGTGTGTGGGTTGGTGGCCTCCTTACGAATGATAGGTCCATCTGCTCGGCAAACGACTCACTCTGCCACACGCACACACACACACACACATACACACGCACGCACACACACACATCTCCATACGCATATCGATGGACCCACATCATTCGATGCCAGCAGATTTCTCTCAGTCAAGAGCAGCCACGCACTCCCCCATCAAAACGCATCGATAAAGTGGATGGCGGAGCACATTGTCACTTAGGCGTGTCGACAGACACAAAGACGTCTCTATGGTTACGCATTCTCTATAGTTGATGGACCTTGATGAATCGTTTATTGGCCAAACCAATCGGTCGACACTTGGCACAAATTCCCATTAAAAGACACCTGGATCACGTCCGCCTGCATCAAGGCCTGATGAGAAACACGATCGCCTGAATGAATCAGCGGCACACTGACAGTAGGTATTCCCGCTACACGTGGGGCTACCTGTAGTGCGACTCCCATGTCATTGTGTGTCTGCAGCTCCGCCATTTTGTCCACACCGCCCGCCTGACGTGAAATGTGATGTTCGCTTCCCGTCATTCTCTCTCTCTCTTGTTCCCTCACCTGGTCCACCAGACTGGAGTAGGGGTTGTCGGGGAGGCCCTCATTGGCCTGCTTCTGCCGACCCGCTCCGCACACACAAACGCAACACACATCGGGTATCACACAGGCGGCAGCTTGTTGACCTACCTTAGTATCTTGCCGACCAAGTAGATCATGGCTGTAAGTCGATTGTTATTGTCGCCGTCGAGCAGGTCACAGAAGGGCTGGATGCCGCCACACTCAATCACATGCTCAGCCTGCATTGCATGATTGAACGAGAAATGAACACACACACAGGCACGTGAGTGTGGGGCTGTTCAGCGGTCAGCGTAGGCACCTGTCGCTGCGAACCTCCTCGGGCTATCTTTCCGATGCTCTCTTCACTGCCATCTCCTTCAGGTAGGGATCGGTCTCCTCGGCGGCCGCCAGGTCGACCAGCAGCGGCACCAAATCAGCATCGATGATGGCCTGGACGTGGGCAGCGCTACCTGTATCAAATCAATCCACACACAACCACGGCCCTACACGTGACGTCCTCGGAATCAGGGAGTGTGTGTGACGATTTGTGTCACCTGCAGCGGTGAATTGCACTATCAGGCACCCCACTCCACCAACGCGCCACGGTCGGCATCGGTACCTGAGAACGTGGGCAGGCAGGACAAAGCCGACCATGCACCTCAGGACAATCTCTCAGGCACTCATGTATACTGACTGACCGTCTTTCTCGGCGAACCAGCCGGCGATGTCCGCTAGGAGCACTCGTGCGGACTGCAGCATATGCTCGTGCCGCTGCGGTGCGGCGATGAGACCGGGATCACAGTGGGGCGAACTCGGCGAGTGGGGCGGGGAGGGGCTCATTCTCGGCGACTATCCACACATCGCACAGCAGGCGGCCACTCCATGACAGCACCTCGGCGTTGGTGGCCTCACGCATTACCTTCAGCAGTGGCTCGAGGATGCCGGCCGCCACCACGGCACCGCTGTGATGTTGCGCAGCGCCACCATGGCCCCCCAGCACACGAGGGGCGGGACAGCACCAGCATTGGCCACCGTTGCGGCGTGATGAGCGGCTAGCATGCCCAGCAGGCATGCTGCCGGCCCCTGCAGCTTCTCGTTCCCCAGCTGCTCCACCCACCAACACAGGCACGACACGGACGTTGACGGCCTTCTGCCCCACCATGCCATCCAGGTGCTTGATGAAGAGCAGCCGCATGAGCTGCCGCACGGCGCGGACCCGAAGCTGCCCATCACTGGCCGACGCTATCAGGTGGCAGATGTCGGTCACGACGGCCGTGATCTCGGCCCCGACGGCCTCGTCGTAGGCCTCCTTCGTGCGGATGGCATTGTAGAGCTTCCTCGTCTTGGTCAGCACTGCTTGGGGTGAGGGATGGCCAGCTGTGGTGCTGGCGGCATCGGCTGGGCTGCCCGCCGACTCCATCGCCTCACGGCTGCGAAGACCAACACGCACACACAGATTGCAGACTGGTCCACGGCTGCTCTCTGCCGTTCTTCTGACCTGGCGAGTACTCGGCTTCCCTTCACTTTGGTCCCGCTGACGCGCTGCTGTCCGGTGCAGATCTCACAGCTCACCTGCAGGATCGAAGACACCACGAAATGAGATAGATCAGGGCTGCACGTGATGCCTTCTGGTCCCCGCGCCAAACAAACGCTCACTCACTGACAGAGATCTCCTCCGCAGCCCGCGAGATGGACCGCAGCAGGCGAGGCACTCAACGCCAAAAGAGAATACAACACGCCTCTGCAAAGGTCTCTCGGCTCACGGGAAGGGCATCTTCATCGCCTGGCATTAAAAAGTTTCTCATCTTCCAGCTCGCGCCGATTCGATCGTTCCTGACAGCCTGTTTCAGCGATTGTGACGCCTTCCAGAGGGCAGCAGGAGCCCCATCAGACATAAACTGATGGTTGGAACTCATCGCTGAGGCCCATCGCACGGCACCGTGGCGGCTGTCACGGTGAGGCCAGCAGTACGATAAACGAGCGGCAATGCCGGATGACTGATCAATCAAGAGGTGTTCTGTGTTCGGTTGGTCTGACTGACAGGTCAGTAGCATGAAATGGCCGCAGCGGAGAGGTACGCCCGACTCGCACACAGCAACAGACAACAGATGCACTTCGAGGTGTGCTGTGCTGTCTGTCATGTGTTGCAGCCGTGTTGGTGGACGGGATGGTCAAGAGAGCAGCGTCGATGGGCTGCCGCGACGCGACCCTCATGCGGGCGGTGCGGCTGCTGGACGTGTGCCGCGCCGACAAACTCATCGACACGAACAACGCCACACAGGCAAAGAGATCTGAATGACAGACAGTGAGTGAGGACTGATGGGATGTGTGTGTCACTTGGCTGGGTGCTGACACACAGGTAGCAGATGCGTGTGTGGCCGCCTGCGTCGAGCGGCTGGAGCCATACCTGCTGATGGACGACATGCCGGATGACCCCACACACACTCAGGCACACAGACACAGACACGCACACGACGCACACCTGTGCAGCGCCGACCTGTCTGTCTGGCTGGCTGGCTCCCTGTGTGCAGGTGGTGTGTCGTGCGGCGGCTGATAGTTCTTTGTGCGGCATTGGGTGTCTGGAGAAGCTGTTCACTGCGGCCGGCATGGACACCCACGGACGACTGTTCTCATTCGCCAAACACCTCATGGTCAGTCTGTCCGCCAGCCACACACAGACACCTCCAGCTCTCGAATGGCTTTTCCCTGCCTGCCTGTCTGTCTGTCTGTCTGTCTGTGCAGTTCTTGTCGATGTGTGACGTCGAGTTGGCCGGGTGCGATGTCCGCCTGCTGGCCGCCACGGCCGTCTACGTCACACGCAAGACCAACCAGAAGCAGATAGCGGGCGGCATATGGGTGGGCCAAAGCGGCACGTGTGTCCTGGCCTATCTATGGCCTGTGTGGCTTTGTGAGTCCGATTGTCCATTGTCAGAGTGCGCCCCTTGTGAGTGAGAGTTCGGTTAGCCAGTCGGCATTGGAGTCGAGCATGACGACGTTGAGGATGCAGCGGCTCATGTGGGGCGATACACAGACCACCAAAGGGGTGAGCATGTCAGAAGACCAGTAAAATCGCCAACACAGCACCGTGTTGATGTCATTGTGTGTCGTTTGTGTGGTGTGTGCAGATACTGACCGATGCAGTAGACGAGCCGTTCGCCTCGCCCGACCGCCACCGCGTCGCATCGACCCGCAGCCTCACACAGCAAGAGCATGGAAGGATGGATGGCTGTCGTCGTTTGTCGGTCGGTCTTTTCTGTCACCGCAGCGCATTCCCTCGTCAGTCAGTCAGTCCACTGCTGCTCTGACCTCGCCGCTCCTCAGGAGTAGCGGGGGATCGATGGGCAGCGGTGGACGGGCCGGGCGGGGCAATGCAATGCAATCAATGCATTGCATGTTGTGTTTGTTCGTTTCCTCCCCACACCGCCTCGAAACCAGTCAGCCCATTACTGCTTTTTCCTTCCTCTGGCCGCGCCCTTGGCGAGCTGAGGAGACGGGCAGGAGTGGACACAAATCGGTCGGATGGAGGGAGGGAGGGTTGGGTGCCGTGTGTGTGGTGTCTGCCGTGGGGTTCATTTTGTCGTCGTCGGTCTATCGGTTCGTTTCTCCGTCTCATGTTTTCCATTGACTGGGGGGGCAGGGGAAGTCAGCGTCGGTGTTTCTTTGACCTTTTGTCGACTGTGTGTAAGTGTGTTGGGGGGGACTCAGGGGATGGCTGGCGTGTCAGTACTGACCCGTCCTCTTTTTGTGCGTGGGATGTCAAGGGGAGCATCACCACGTGGGACAGCCAGCCCATCGACCACCCAATTAGGTACTCAGCCTGTCTGTCTGCCTGTCTGTCTTGCTCTCACCTCGCCCCCCACACCCACACATAGCCAAGCCCTCTGATTGATACAGAGCCAGGCCAAGCCAAGTTGAGCTGTTTCCGTGTGCATGCCGTCTGTGTGTGGGTGTGTGCGCCAAGCACCCACCCTCCCACACTACTCGCTCTCAGACAGACAGATCAAGGGGGCGGTGTAGTCTCTATCTACTGCTGCGTCCGCTGTGTGTGTGTGCGTACTGTCTGTCTGTCTGTCTGTCTGTGGCAGAGTGTGTGTGTGCGAGTGACGTGTGCGCGCAATGATGGCGGTTTGCGAGAGCGAGGCGGATGATATGCATACGGGTCTGTCTGATGGCCGGTGTAGACACCACAGACATACAATGATATCTTAGATGGGATCCCTCACAGCCATGGGATGGGCAGGGCTGTGGATGCGATGTGTGCGGCTCAGCGTGGTTGATGGAGTGAACTGGTCAACATGAATCGATGGACAGATGGCAGACTGATCAGACAAAGGAAATTGCGACCAGCACACATCCGCGAGCTTAAAGGCTGAGCGGCTGCCGATCTCCTGTTCTTTTTGGCGACTGTAGGGCTGCGCGGAGTGCCTGTGTGGTGCACCAAGGGCTGCCGAGATGATATCGATCAGCAGGCGAGTCGTCATCTCCCGGCTGGCGGCACTGATCTGACCTCACCTGACAAAGTGAGACTGTGAGAGGGACAGAAAAGGCATTAGCGACGGCATTGCATGTGTTCTCTGTGTGTGGCTGTGTGACAGGGCTGTGCCGTGGACTGTAGGTGCTGACGGTCGCTGCCTGCCGGCTCAAGCTGTGCGTTGAATCCAGCAGCCGTGGCAGGTTGATTGCCTCTTCCTCACGCTGAGTGAGAGCGGCGTCTGTCCATCAACGGTCAGACCAGCCATAGCAGTCCGGGTGTGAGGGAGATCATGCCGTCGTATTGGTACTGGCGGCATGTGGCTGAGGATGGCGTCTGGCGCTGGCCGGTTGTCAGACACGAGGTCAGCTGAATGGATGATGACAGCACTCGAGAGGCGGCTCCCTTGATGCAGCCGCCGCAACGACCGTTTCTTTCTCTCCTTGGTCTGTGTGCAGGTGAGGATTGCTGTGGTTCCCGCTGCTCACGAGGGCTGGTCCTACCGACTCACTCACGAGAGCGGACAGCCACCCACCACACACGACAAACAGGTCGGTGGCAGAGACGACACACCTGGCTGCATTCCCATCCCCTCTGTGTGTGCTGTCAGCCATGGCATCGTCTGTCCCGCGATGAACTCGTGTGCATCTTCGGCTACCTGTACCCGTGGGAGCTCGAGCGGCTGGACGCCTCGCTGGGCGCCCCGCTGTTTCTCCTCGCCGCCGCCCACTACTCACACCTTTCCATCGATGCATCCGATGCCGAGGCCGCTCGCCAGTGGGCGGCCATGCGTCACCGTCACCAAGCAGGGCGACCTCCCCTGTCTGAGAGGGAGAGAGGGCGGCATTTATCGCCGCTCTCCTCCATGTGCACTGGCTGGGGCAGCAGCGGGCGTGTGGCTGGCCGTCGTGGTAGGGTGCGTTCGGTATTCTTTATGTGCGTGTGTTGTGTGTCTGGATGGATGAATGGTCAGTGTACTGGCAGTTTCTTCAGTACCGTAGCGCAGGCACCCACTCACTGGTGTGTGTAGTTCGCTGGATGGCTTTCCTTCGCAAAGGTCACAGGTAGGGAGATTGACGCGGCATTGGTTGCCTGTAGATTCCGTGAGCACAGACAGACAGGCAGGAGAGAGAGAGGTGTGCACTCATTCACTGGCAAGTCTGTCTGCCCGTCTGCCCTCTCGTCTGTCTGCCTGGTGTGTGTGCGGCAGCTTGCTGTGCTGAACCGCACACAACGTGTCGTCTTTCTGTGGTCGACGAAGGGCGAATGGGTGCAGGTGAGTACAAGTGGATGGATGGATGGTAGTAGGTGGCCAGTTTCCCTTCGCAAAGGTCACAGGTAGACTGACTGACTGACTGACTGACTGACAGGCATGCAGCAAGTAGTGTGCGGCATTTTATGTGTCTTACCTGTCTGCTTGGGCGAGGCCATTTGTTCTGGTTGCTGCTTCACGTGGGCACAGGCAGATAGACAGGCAGAGGTGTACCAATCAATGAACTGAACCACACGTACATCCATCTCATGTCATGTGTGTCACGTGTGTTGTCGATGGGGGGCAATGCAGCCAGACAGACAGACAGACAGGGTAGGAGGAGAGAGAGGGACTCATCCAACAGGCAGCTGCAACTGTAGAGAGAGATAGAGGTGACTTGCTGTCTGTGCGGACAAACAGTGGAAGTGTCATTACATGGTGATGGCTGGGCGGCCACGGACCCGCTGGTCTGTTCAACACCGATAGATTATCCACACAAAGCCCCACAAAGGCGCCCTGACAGCCCATCGTCACCACCAAAGTCAATTGAGATCTCCGCCCCCTCAGTGCATCTGAGTGATATTTGTCCTCTGAAGGGTCTGTTTTGCTCATCAAGTGTGCTCGTCAGACAAGGGGCGGGGAAATCGCCACAAAAAATGTGCGAGCTGGATCGCCTCCCTTCGAAGAGAAAGAGAGAGATAGAAATGGCGCCGCCGTGCGTCGCCTGGCATCCAGCACAGATGCCCTGTCATCCTCATTATTACTATCCGCCTGGACGGTCGGCACTTCCTCTCCTCAACACGCCGGCGTCCTATGGCTACGACGAGGGGCTGTCGCGGCACTACTATCCCGTCCCCGCCACCGCGCCCGACGCCCCTGAGGGCCAGCAAACTGAGATGTGCGCCCCCTGTGAGGCTGTGGTCAACGCCGCCCGCGCTATGGACCAATGGATCCGAGAGCAAGTCGCGAAGATCGGCGACTCGCTGCGGCAGTGCGGGTGCTGCCTCGTCAGCGGACCAGAGAGCCAAGAGGCTCAGCGGCCGAGCGGTCCCTCGGCCGACGACCAGCTGACAGGCACCTCGCCGACCACACCTCACTGGGGGAACGCTGCACACCCCCGGGCTCTGCAGCAGCGCGACGGCCCTCCTGCTGCATCCTACCCCCTTCCCCATCCCCTTCCCCACCCCCACCATATGGAGTTTGTGGCTGCGCACTCGCGCCCGGCCCCGCTGCGGCCCATCTACCCGGCTACGGCCACCCCACCACTGATGGGACCGCAGCACCAGCAGGCTCCCCGCACGATGTCCGCCGCACCACGGCCACGGCCACCTATTTACCCCTGCGGACCGGGGCCTGCTGTAATCGTTGCTGGGCCGCTTAACGGCGGTCTTCAGCCGGGAGAGGGAGGGGTACATGTGCATGTGCATGATTCATCCAGCCAGCAGCCCACCAGCCACCACCACGAGGCTGCTCCAGCCATGCCGCCCACTAGAGAGGAGGACCACCACGGGCAGGCCACGACGACAGAGGAGGACAAGGTCGAGAGGGAGGAGGAGAGGGAGGATGCTGACGTAGCTGTTGCTGTTGACGAGAGTGTCCCCCGGCCAGCCGAGGAGGCACCACATGATAGTCTGCATGAGGAGGGCGTGTCTGCTGCGCCCGACTGTGACCAGGAGATGTCTAGCGGGTGAGGCCACACGCAGAGAGTGACACGTTGACCACAAGACGCATCTCATCTGTTCTGTCTGTGCGTTTGTTGTTTCCCTTCATCCTCAGATTGTCGATTGTTGACCTGCATAGCGAAGCCGCCCAGCCCACACCAGCCGCTGCACCTTCAGCACCACTCTCTCCCTCTCCCGCCCCCCACTACACAATGGTGCACAGCGGCCAGGCTGCGGACTGCCTACACCAGCGCGACTCAATCTCGTTTGCACACATCCAGGAAGGCAGCCGCAGCCTCTTGTGCGTGCGCAAGACCACCGCCACAACCAGACAGCGCACCGAGCCGCCCCAGCTCTACCTACTCTCCCACCACCATGCCACCCGCACCAGACGCCCCGCCGACCAGCTCCCTGACGCCGACCCATCGGCCGCCCACGGCAAGGGGATTATCCCCCCCATCCTGTGGCCGGTCGTCAAGGAGGCGCTCGGGGGCGAGTACGGGC